CTGCGTAGATCCTGTTGATTTTCTTGGGTCCTTTCCATTTAAACAAACACTTCTTACCCTGTCCTTCTTCCTGTAAGACAGGACCACTTACTACTGTCTTCATCATAGATGCATCATTTGCAGCAACAATGTTAGGTTTTGCGACAGTAGAGGTTGTATTCCCACCATCCCCTTCAACGCGTCCAACAAACATCTGCAACTCTGAATTTAAGAAACAAAATATTAGAAAACTAGCTCTAATGATGTCACGAACACAGTTTCTGCCCATGTGGGTGTTCATAATGTTTGTCAAATTTTGAAGACAATGAATAAAAAATATAACAGAAAAGAATTAAGTGACTCTCAGCTTTATGTCAACTCTAATTTGCAACCAGGAAAAGATAAAAGACAATTCTAATAAGATTCGTGCAAATTAAAACATATCAAATTGTTATTGATCCCTTGGCTGCTTCAAAGTCACGGTCTTGAATGAGCTGGTCAGCTTTTTGTTCTCAAGGCAGATCTCATTGACCATACTTAAGAAAATAAGCTACAAAAAGTTAAAACCTTCTCAACAGATCCACTCAAAACAACCAGGTTTTCCAGCCAAACTTAATAACTAACACCCATAAAAACTCAAAGTTGCATTTGGTACAGACCTATTTCATTTCTATTTGATCCTTAGATCTAAATTATTTGACATCTAGAAAGTTAGCTATAATAGCTAACTTATACATTTGATCATAGTTGAGTTAACTTCATTCCACAACTATAGACCTGTATTCTCAACCTGTCAATAAAGTAATCACAAAAATCTGTAACTTGAATCAGACATAGAATTAACTTAGGTGTAATTCTCATTGAAAATTCCATCTTATTTCCATTATATTCCCATTCATATTCCATGTGACTATTTAGAATTTGTGGTCCAGGGAGAAGGCAAGGGAGGGAACTGTTAGTAGCTTTTAGTTCCTAAAGGCCAGAAGGAGACTTGTACAGCTTCCAGGAATAAAACAGCTAAACTCTAGTAGTTGAAACCAAAATAGCCACAAGAACAATGTAGAAGATAAGTAAATACTTAAAGCAGCGGATATAAACGCTGGAAGTGGCACAAATTCTCATTCTGGAATTGATGTTTATATTGGCACACAGTGCAGGACACAAATAAATAGCAATTATCACCTAAGTGAACAAGAGAATAAAGCTCATCGCAAAAAGGTCCCCTCCCACAACCTCAAACCAACTAAAGAATCAACTTAGCAGCTATTATTTTTCTAAACTGATTAATCATAATATCTTTTGGACTAAAATGTTCCAAAACAGTTACTAGAAATCAAAAGAAACCAAGTAAATGAACAGCAGAAAAATAAGCACCCGACAAAATCATGCACGCGGCCACTAATTTTCTATCAATTTTTAATATACCTATTGCCTCTTGATGGTCTAAAGTACTTGAAAAAGCATGTCAAGAAAACATATCAGCAAGATTAATCCCAAATCCAACCTAGAGAGCAAAATCACAAATCAATTAATATAATAATCATTTATACCTGCTTGCCCATGAGCAAAGTGGCATTTATCGGAAAAGGGACAATGACTGGTTGTCTCCCATTTTGTACATAATTTTGTCTTCCAGTAAACAGGCTTCATCATCATCATCATGTTGTTGTTGTTAGCAGACCTATTAACTTCAGATTGAGTACCCCCGCTTCCATGCACCACTGGCGGAGGAGTGGTTCCAATGCTGATAGCAGAGCTTTCTCTAAACCTATTATCATCTCTAAACTTGGCAGGATCTTCATGAAGGAAATTGCACCTTTCCCCATAAGGGCATTCCTCCCCATTATAAAACTTTTTGCATAGCTTCATCCTGTGAATGATCCTCTGATCATCCTCCCAATTCCCTGATGATCTTTCCTCATCACCACGCGCCCCTACAAGTTCTTGCCAATTTGGTGGGGGTTGTCGCAAATCTTCAACCCCATGAGCGAAGTTGCAATTCTCACCATTCCTGCAATTACCAGCTCTGAATTTGGCACACACCCGGGTCTTGAAAAAGATGTTGCTTGTCCCCTTGTTGACTGGAGGGTTTATGGGTGTCCTAGAATTGGACTGGTATGGTGAAGAACTAGATTGGTTATCTTCGTCCTTGATCTCTTGAAAGGAGGAGGCT